GTTTTATTAAGAGAAAGCCTATCAGGCTGAGCAAAGACAACTACAGTCTGGGCTATGCATTTAAAGGAGACTGCAGCCCCCAGAGAGAAGGTGAGGAAGGTTATATACAGGCGGTGCTGACAGTGTAGCATTGTTTGAACAGAAAATGCTGACCGCCTGTAATCCAGTAACTGTTTTGTGGTGTTTTCTGTTATCATGTGTTTCGCTTTGTCTGAGAAGAATCAACCCATATTATTGGATAATACAGTGTATAATGTGTACCATAATTTAAATGAAAACATCAAAATGCATGTCTGTAGACAGTAGACATAAGTATCTTCAATTTTAAGAGAGCAATAGAGAGCCTCACATTATTTGGCATTGTCAAGAAATGATTTCAACATATTAATCCTTTAATTTGGGTTAGCAACAGTAGAGCAAGAATATTTTTAATTTATTTCATGAAAATATAATAAATAGAAATGCAGTTATTTGTAATTTTTTTTACGCTTTAATGAAATCTATGTTCTGACAATATAAAGAAAAACACAATAAAAATAACTCAAAGTAAATTGAAAATCATATAATTTCTTTTGAAATATATACATCATATATATGTATCAAATATATATGACATATGATATATATACATATATGTATATGAGACAACATAGATGGATCTTGACATTATCTTGTTAAGTGAAATAAGTTAGATCCTCTTCTCCCTCCTTCAGAAAGAAAACAAAAAGAAACCAGACAGAAATAGTTGAGAACCACATGATTTCACTCATGTGTGAGATATAAAACTGAAAGCTACAAATGAAGATGATAAAGAAATAAGCAAAACCTCATAGCCATAGACAACAGTTTAGTGGTTACCACACAATGCGATATATAGATAATGTATTATAGAGTTGTACACTTGAAACATATATAATTTTGCTAACCAATGTCACCACAATATATTTAATAAAGCTTAGTAAAATAAACAAATAATTAGCTACAGCTGTATGTTTCATATACTTTCTTCCTTTCTCCTTCTATTTTTTAATTATCAGAGCATATAATAATTACATACTATTCTGTCATCCCATCTCCATAATTTAGTCTTAGTTCTACTGTTACACATATTCAATGACCACCCGTGGTCCTACTAGAACTTTTCCAGTGTTTCCTTGAGACTGAAGACGGACTCAGAGGAACAAATTCCCTGATTTCTGGCATATTTTAAGAGTATTTATGTAGTCTTTATATGTAATGGTCAGTTTGGCTGGCTAGAAAATCCTTGGTTAGCAGATTCTTTTTCTACCTGAAATATGTTATTTTATTACCTTCTAGCATAAAATTCTTCTCTCAAAAAAGCCTAAGGCCAATTCGATTTTCATTCTCTTATAATTATTAACTTGACACTTTTGCCTGAATGCTCAAAACATTTTTTTATCTAAAGCCCAATATTTTTATTGGAATATGGCTCAGTGTTGGCCTTTCTGGGTTGATTGTCACATTTACATAGAGAATATTTTTAATACATAGGCTTTAGTCTTATTTGAGAAAAGTTTTCTTGAATTATAATTTTTAATATTTCTTTGGTTTTATTAATTTAATTTTTTTATTCCTGTATTACTTTTGGATCTTCCTTGACTCATGTATAACTGTGACTTTCAAATCCTTTTTTATTTCCTTCTTCATTTCTGTTTGATTTTATTTTCTCTTTACCCTTCTTTATCTTCTGTTTTCCTTGTGATGCTTTCCATGTTAATCTTTTTCTGAAATGTT